ACCAAAAAAGATTGCTTTAAAGTGAAAATATACTGACTCGAAACATCTTAATATTCTCATTTTGGTTAATTTTGACCAGAAGCCAAAAATGGTTGCTGACTCCGCTGTAACTTTTAGTCGTGAATTCTTTCATTTAAGAAGCTATTAACTCGGAAATTTCAAATGCATTTTCAGTTTTTAATTTTTAATTGCTTTATACTATTGAAATATTTTGAAATTTGTGTGTTTACTGTTAATAATATACATAAAAATATATTCTTTTGCTTTTGATTATTCAATAATGAAAACATTTCGGTAAATTACTAGCGTTCTGAAATAGCAAATAGAATTCAGAATACTAGTAATGTTCTCCATTAAACTAAAATAAGCATTCGAATTAGAATTAACTCTAAAGTGTTGTTTTAAGGATTTAATCACCTAATACCATTCTAAATTAGAACTGCTAAATTAGTTGTATTAGTTTTAAAATTTATTAGTAAAGTAGGCTTATTACAGTTTCTCGTTTTTCTTCTTTTTTTCCATTTTACACTGTATTCTTTATTTTTATGTCTAGAACTTATTTTCGTTAAAGCTGAAAAGTAAAAGTTTACAATTTAATGAAAATATTTTTTAATGAAAAACTCAACCACCTACCTGTTTAGATTGCGATGATAAATAACTTCGCTTTTATTTTCTTCCTTAATTTTATTTAACTTCGAGCAAATTTTAAAATGTAACAAAAACTTGAAACAAAATAAGCTGAAAACGTCATTACTTTTAGAAACTGAATGGCAGGAATTAAAAAAGAAAGAAAGAACGATGAAACTAAACGCAAAACTGGACTCAAAAGTTCAAACGATATGACAGCTTTCAAACCGTGAAGCACGAAAACAAAGATAAAAATTATTAGATGGTAAAGAATGCAAAGTTTCACAGTCAGAAAATGAAAGAATTGCCAAAAAAAAAAAAAAAAAAAAAAAAAAAGAAACTGGAGAGAAACAAAGAAGTTTTTTCTTTTATCGAATGAAAAATCTCATGGAAAAATTATAAAATAACTGACAAAATGAAAAGTAAGTTTTGTAAGCAAAAGCTGCAGAAAATATTTTACATATCATTTTGATCTGCACTATCAGTTCAAACTTAATAGCCTATTTGACAATTTTATAAAACACATCCTATTTTTCTAAAACATTTTGAATTAGAATTATAAAAAATATTCTATATCCGAAGATGAGCTTTTGATGAAAAGGGCAAAAGCAAATTTAATGAAATTTTTTAAATGTTAGATAATAAAATAATACTACAAGGCAGAAAGCGAAAATTCCTTTTTTAAGATTCTTCCCCTCGCTGACTGAAATTATTAACTGCATTATGCATTTTGCAGAAAGCTGGTACATACTTAAACCGAATCCTTGGGATCTCCGCTACATTCCAATGCTTTGCTACTGCATAATTTACGGATCACAGCTTTTTAATTTCTCGTAGAACTCTTCAGGCCAGGTGCTATTACTTCTTTGCAGATATAAAATTGAATGACTAGACACACCAGATTTACTATTCTGTAACAGCACATGCACATCCTAAGAGTTTTAAAGTTCTGTTCATTACGTTGCTTCTACTGTTGACATTAAAGTGTTTTAATTTAAATTCGTGATACTTTGTATCGCTCATTGAAATTAAACTGTACTACAAATACTGTTATAATTTTTTAATTTTTATCAGAATACTATATACAACCAGTATTTACAAAGGAAATTTCTGTATAAATATTTATTTCGAATACTTCGTTGTTTTGAAACCTGAATATTACAAAGTTTTTCATAATTTAAGATGAAATATTTTTTAGAATTTAAACTTATGACATAATCACCTATGTTTGACATTAATTACGGTAATATTTTCTCATTTAATGAAACACCTTCCACATCCTCAAAAAGACCTGTAATTTTTGTATCTCACATTTTATTTATAAAAGTATAGGTTATATTTAGCTAAAATACATTCAAATTTAGTTTCATCATATTTATTAATAAATAATTAATTGAACTGTTACACAAAAACCACTTACAGGAAGAATAAAAATCTTAGACCTATATTCCCATGTTATTTATTAGCCCAAAGGGGAGGTAGGCCATAAGGACTATTAGTTTCAAAACAGCATTTAATGACGTTTCACTATAAACTGCGAATCACTTTTTAAAGTTTTGCCACCAAATATTATCACCCTGTGTTATATTTAAAAAGATTAAGTAATGAAGAATCTACATGCATGTATGTACGTATGTTTCTGGCATTGTGGAAAAACGGCGGCACTTAGAGCCATCAAATTTTGAATAACCTAATCCTCCACCCGAACATCGGCACCTGGATACCCGAATTTTGAATTTCGAATATGTTTTATTGTGTATTTCATATTTTGTAAAACCTTAACAATTTTTTTTATTAACAAGCTGAACAATTCCAAAGCGAGTAATGACAACACTGTACGAAAAAAAACACTCTTATCTCCAGCGCGCCAGACTGTCTAGGGGAAAGGCTGTTTCTAAATATATTTAGTCCAAAGGAACTGATGCTCTCGAAACTTGTATGCGTATGTAAATAAAAAAAAATGCCAAAAACGCCCCTAAGCGGAGTATATAAAAAAATCTGAAAGCTTTCAGATTTTCTATTGTTTTCTTCTTTTTATAGTCAAAGAAATAGCGTTTTCATTTGTTTGATATACCATCTTAAAACTTTTAATTAAATTAATAGAACGCGCAGTAATAAAAAAACATTGTAATAGAAATTTAAATTATTAAAACTACATAAATAACACATGTAAAATGTTATATCTTCCTGCGTAATTTTTTCATACATCACATCAATGTTTTTACGGTATAAGTACTTTATTTTCTTGAAATGTAATTTGAAAAAATTATATTTTATTCCGTGTACTAGATTTTTTAGTTAATCGTGTTAAACATATTTCATAACGGAGCCGATTTTAATGGCAAAGAAATAGCTTCTGATATTTAAAATAATGAAATACTAATTTATTAAATTTATTCTGTTTTTATCCTGACTTTAAGTGTTAACTAATGTAACTGAGAGTTCACGGACTAATTTCCGAAACAAACTTAAGTTTAATAATTAATAATACCATTGCCTGACCTAAATAAAAGTAGAGTAATTAGTAAGGTTTATTCAGCTCCTTTTTAATGCAATTTGAAAGATTTGAATTTTGCAATCAAATTTTGAGGCTTTACATAACAGTCAAAATCCGGTTTCTGTACATGACTCGATGCCATATTGTCATACACGAGTAATAAAACGTGACCTTAAAATGTGAAGTAGCCGGTGGGACATCCCAGTAGAACGAGAAGTGACTACTTTTCAAAGCAAAGTGCATACTCAGACAGAATAAAAAAATTCAAAACACTTTCGCACGTTTTAACCTAAGGCGTAACGGGAGTTGAATGCCGCAATTCAATGCCTCGATCGGTGTGTTGTGTACATTGATTATCCTTCTACATTATCATTTTAAACGTCATTACTAATTACATGTACTGTCTTGCTCGTAAAATAATGAAAGATAAAAAAAATTCTGTAATTTTTCTAAAAAAAATCTTTATAGGAGGTAGTCTAAGAATAGATATTATGTACTGCTAAAAGATGCGTACCCTGTATTAGCTTCTCCTTTTTTGGTATGCAAAGCTGTAACTTCCCCTTCTTTGTTATGCATATCTACAGTTTGTACCGCGATACCGATATTAGGAATTTTTCGAAAAATCTACAAAAATCCAGTTATTTCTCTGCCATATTTATTATTTTTACAAAAAAATGCATTGAATATAAAACTATAAATAATTTTTAAAATATAAATAAAATGCTAAACCTTCTGTCATGTTTATTTGTTACTGAATCTAAATCAATATCTTACAATTTAAAATAAATGTTTATGAATGGTATCAAATTGTATTTATAAATGCAGAGACTGACAACAGGGAAAGAGACCTAAAATTACACATTTGTTTTAAATCTGCGAATAGTAACAATTACTTTTATTAGTCTAACAGCTTATTTCGCTTTATTAAAATTTTTATTTTTCCTTTATCTTGTGGTTTTAATTCTTAAAACAGGCTTTTCAAAATACCAAAATAATGTTCATTTTCAAGACGGAAAAATGTTTATAAACCGATTGTTACTATGCTCTCAAACCTAATTTTAAAAATGATTATTATTGGGTCAGTCCATAAATTCGTGCGCATTTTTTGGTAAATTTTTAAATAATATAAAAAACACAATTTAACATTTTAATCAATTATATATTTTCCTCCATTATCTACAAAGTCTCGCCATCTTACAAGGCAGCTTTTTTATGCCATTGCTGTAGAAAGACTCTGCTTTTAATGCAAAGAAAATTGAAAGTTCATTGTGTACATCCTGTTTAGAATTTAATTTTTTTCCCAGTAAAATATTTTGTCAGGCACAAAATAAGTGAAAATCACTTGGGACAATATCTGGGGAGCAAGCAGGATGTCACAAAAGCTCCCAGTTAAACTCACTAATTTTTTGCAGAGTTGGTCGATCCGTATGCAGTCTAGCGTTATCATGATGAAACAACATTTTCCTGATATTCACCAATGGAGGGCGTTTATTGATCAATTCTGAGTTTAGACGGCAAAGTTGTTCACTATAAACTTCTGAATTAATCGTTTGATTTGGTTCTAACAGTTCAAAACGTCCTGAACGGGGTTCATCATGAATGCTGCTTTTCCAACTTAAAATTCTTTAAGCCATTTCTGGGCAGTTCTTACACTAATAGTGTGTTTACCATGTACACTATTAATTTTCATCGCTGCAAACCTGGCACACGAAAATAAAAAATGTAGCACAGCACGTTTGTGCTGATTATCTATATTAATCGTCTATGGGTACTAAAACGCGTTCGATATTTACGAAAGTTGGTGATGAACTGAATAATATGTTAGTCAAACAACGACAAGTTTCAACAGGTTCAAAATTGTATTGATTTAGTAAATGCATCATTGTGAATTCCACGCATACTCTTAATGCGCACGAACTTATAGACTGACTCGGTGATGAAATTTCTATTATTTATTTAAATTAATTGTAGATATGATGTTGCTAAAGTAATTCCGTAAACGAAAGTTTTTTTTTTTTTTTTTTTTTTTTTTTTTTTTTTTAAATTTTGTTATAATATAATTTCAATTGCATTGCAAATTCTCTTGAGCTTAGAAGATTCTTCTTGTAATTTTACGAAGAAATAAAACAATGCGTTACGCAGTTTACAAAGCACGGCGTATTCAAAAAGGATTCAACATAAAATAACCTATTATCATTTCCGAAAAAAAACTGGCTCAGATATATCGAAATAGATCCTAACAGACTAGCTTTTTAAAAACCAATTTTGGTCTTTTTTTTCTTTAAATTTTAACAATAGTTTTAGGTTTGCTTAAACTATACATTCTTTTTTCAGACATTAAATCAAAAAAGATCAGATACTGAAATAAATACAAAATCAGATAAAGAACTGATTGACAGAATCTTTCGAATCAACCGTAATGAGCTCTGTAGGCCAAAGTTCAGAATACTGTGCGAAAAATGACAAACAGATACAGACGAAAACTCAGAGGAAATATTTGTACAAGCAACGCAGCAGACGCATCTTGAATGATTTCTAGAAATTTGAGGTAAGTTTACCAATTTTGTAAAGGTTATGATTTCAGAAACTTCATAATTTAATTATTGAAATTTCATTTGTTACAAAAGCTCAGACTTCTTATTAAAATATATATAATATATATATTTTGATATTAAGTCTGCATAATATACAGACTTATTATTATAAGTCTGTATATTATAATAATAATATAATGCCTGTCTTATAATAATAAGTCATATATATTTTATATATATAACATACGTATAAATATATATATGATATATATATTTTGACTGAGATATAAAGGTGCAGCACAACTGAAAATGTTACAGATATACAGAAGAAAAAAGTAAAAGATAGTTTTAGAGCTAATTTATGAATACAAATAAAGTAAAAATTCATTACACACTTATGTGTTTGCTAGTGATCTTACAGATAAAACATATATTAAAGTAATTTAAAATTATCATGCTAAAGTAGTCTTATAAGTTTAATTGTTCAACGTACGTGTAGTGAAAATATTTGTATGTAGTAAAAATACTTATATATTTTAATTTCTTATGTAATGAAAAATGTGTTAATTTCTGTAAGCTATGAGAAATATTTAATATAATTATTCAGGTGTATAAGTGATAACCAAAATTTTGAATATCAATTTTATCAGCGATGAAATTATAACAGTGATTAAGAGTACATCACGTTGTTTCCGCAATAACCCGAATGATAGGGATAAAACATGTGACCTTCAGAGGATAGCAAAATAAAGTACTTACCCTAGACGTTGTGATAGTTGAAGAAGAAAATACAAGTTATTCGTCTACAATTTACTCTATTTATCTTTCCTATCAAAAATTTTATTGCTGAGCTCACACAAATAAACAAGAAAATTAAATAATCAGATCATAACTATAGTCCTACTATAAATACAGAGCGTCCACTCGTTTATCGATACACTACAGAGCACTATCCACTTGCATCACTTTCTATATATCACGAAAAACCTGGAATCGAAGATATATGTAGACCAGGAGTATACTTATCTTGAAGTTTCTTTTGATTTTGAAGCTTCTACCAGTGAATTAATTTGGAGCAGTGCACCACGTGGCGATAGACAATGGATGAGTCTTAAATTGCACAATGAGATCGTTCATGATTCTTGCTTAAAAAAACATCATTCCACCCAGGATGAATTTTCAGCAACTGCATATAGAATGAATATATTCAATAAAAAACTACAGTTGGCTTTCTATAAATCAGAATCATCGGACTTTTCAGGAAAGTTAAACGTGTATCATGAAACGAGGTCGTAGGTGAAGAGACAGTCAGTGAAGAGACAGCCGAAGCCCGTCCTTCACCCTTGAACTCCCAGCAGCGAAGAGAGAGAAACCGGTCCAACAACTGCCACCAAGGGCTTGGACGAAACGATGACGATTCTTGAAGCGATAGTTTGATGATAGATGCCGGCTTGCTAGCACAGTACGTATCGTACTGAATGTCTTCAATACTTGCGAAACTTTAAAACTCTTTATTTCCACTTTAGACTAATATTTATACAATTTGATCTTTTTACACTTTCCAGAAGCAAACTTAATCGTAAGCATGTTTTATACATGTCATTTCACTATGTTCTATGTTAGCATTAATAGTGTAGTACATTACGCTGTAGTTAACATAAAAAAGGATGGGCTATAAAATGAAGAACTATTATATACACCAAAAAAATATAAGTGGATTTTTATTTCATTAAAAATATAATCGGATGCTGTATTCAGTTTCAAATATTTTATTTCTCTCTTTGCCAACTTCTGCAGTTTTTCTTCAGATTAATAACAAATTCTTATAAACTTTACGTTCTGTCACTCTGAGGTAAAAATATTAAGTCGTAGTGATTAAATTATTGCTAATATTCACTGCATAATACAGTGAGCTCTTCGAAATCATTAATTTGTTTCTTATCCTTCTTTTAACTATATGCTTTACACATAACTATATCCTTATACATTTGTGTAAAGCATTTATTCATAAGAAAGGTAACTATATTGCTTTTCTGATATAACTAAACGCTTATATATTCATCTTAAAATAATGTAACCCTGTATGCTTTATATACTTTTCTTACAAATATATGAGTTATGCTCATCTCAAATTATAACTATGTGCTTTTCTCATAATATATATTTCTCATATGCTTTTATATTCATCTTAAAATCCTCCCATTTTGAAATCATTATTATAGTTGACACACTTAAATATTTAACACTGAATAATGCACGTTTTTTGAGGATAAGTAGCTTTTTAGTTTAAGCATATTTGTAAAATCCTATAACATATTTCTAGCTATTATGACCTGCTAAAAGACTACAGCTTCAGCTAGTTTTGAAACTTCACATCGTTGCAGATGCTCACTGCACATAAACGAAAATTAATCACTGATGATGCAAAAGGTTTCAGCGGAAACCCGCATCAGGTTGAACAGAACTTGATGTACTCAGAATACATCAAGTTTTCTTTTAAACCGTTGCTATTGCTAAAATGTTATACTTTTATAACCGAACACGTTTAAACAGTAGATACATTAAGTCGCTCCTGCACTAATCCTTAGGTGATAGTAGAACACAACTTCCGAACTTTGCTGTGAATGCTGATCCTCAAGTTGATAAGTTATATGAAAAATTAAGCCTTTTCATATAACTCGTTTCAGTTCATCATTAATCTGCGCAAATCCGTATGACCTGCTATCTTTGCAATTATAAGCATTTCAAAGATCTTTTTTCATCTTTTGACCAAAGAAAAGCTTCTCTATTAACACAGTCAAAAGAATTAGATCCATCTTCAGTTTTTGTTCTTATCTGTGGTCACTGACAAAAATCTCTTGGAACTGGTAACCCGGAAGATCATCTTTGTTAACCTAGCATTCATTTTAATACACCACCCGAATTGTAAAGGGTTATCAGAGTTGACTGGCAGAAAGTTAACACTGGCTTTGCTACGCAGTGTGCAAGTGAACAATCACCACACCTCTGAATGCGAATTAAATTGCGAGGTTGAACTTTACGCAAGAAGTAACACACCTGTGTCTTTTATGGGATGATGGCTCTCTTGAAAGGAAATGTAGCAGTTAAAGCCCATTGTTTCAGTATTCGTTTCATTAACTCCCATAAAATCAATAGAAATTGAATTTAATGTGCCATTAGTCAAATCTGAGGTCAAGGAGCAGTGATCACAAAAGTTTGCTTTCAGGCCATTGTTAAAATGATGAATAAACAACGTTTTCTTTTCGCAATCTTAGCAGGGTAATATTTCACAAAATTAGGTCTATTAAAGTAGAATATCATGTGTAATTACGTGTCGGAGAGTATATAATATAAAAGATATTTTAATTGGTTTCGTTTAAATTAATTAGCAGACACATAATCTGAAGCTAGTTACGTAACTCGTGAATAAACTGTAGCGGAGTTACTATAAAACTTTACGAGTACTATAAAGCTATCATATGCTAAACGTTTATAATGAATTTTTCCTTTATCTTTAGTACAGCACATTACAATAAATCGTTGTCAAGCCTGGATTTGTAGTACGCGATTTTGCTATACACGCGTTATCTCAATTTTTCCATTCATTTTGTACAGCTACAGAATTTTATCCATACGCACGCGGTTAAATGTTCATTCATCAAAACATTTCTGACCAGATGTTATCTACAATTCTAAAGGATTTTCATCAATTGAAAATAATAACAAAAGAATCGTACAAATTTCAAAAGCAATCGAAGGAGAAGGATTTCCAGATATAGAAGAAGAAATTAATGAATTAATTGAAAGATGACGAATGAAGAATTGGATGATCTTATAACACCATCGACATTGAAAACAGTAATAATGGAGAAGGTAAGATCTCCTTTATTTTACAAGAAGTTAAATAAATTGCCAAAATAGGGCTTAGAAACTGTCTGCTTTTACAATAAAGACTGACCCAAATGAAGAAAGAAGAGGGAACTGCATGCGATACATTGAAAATCTCTTTAGTTCTTACCATGGAAACTTTCTTAACTGTTTGCGTTAATCATTGTTCCAAGCAAAAATCACCGATTTTTTTTTAAATAATTGTATCACATACTTAATAAAGCAGTAATAAAAATCCTATTGATTAAAATTTATTTAATTTTTTCCTTTTAATTTCAGCAACAGTTTAGACTTGTTTAAATTATGCATAATTTTTGTTAATTTGAAATAAATTTAACGTATTTTTCTATAAAATAATAAAAATATAAATTTCCATAAAAGATTAACTTTGTGCAACGCAATTTTGCAGTACGCTCATTATATTACTGATGCAAACCCACTCTCTGTATTCTAAATAATTAGATATATACTATATAAATATACATAATAAACTTTCATTTTTACGCCACTGTATCCAATCTAGCAAACTAGATATGTAATCTATTATATACACAGCATCATCTAAAATCACCACTTAATAGAGTTTTTAACTTTTATTTTTTTCTATTTGGAAGCAAAATCACTACAAAGTTCTGTATCATTTTCTTTCTACTTAATTAACTTTCAGTTACATACATTATACATTAGAACATTTATTTGAATCTCAATACAATTTCGTTTATTCCATCTTCATATTTGTTCCCCAAGTTACACACACACACACATTTACCATATATATGTGTGGGTGTATAAGATATAAAATATGAAAGAAAATTATTAACAAATTACTATTAATTGACATGCAATAGCCCTTTTGATTTAGATATAACCTATTTTAATATGGATACAACCACCTTCAAAGACTCCATGCTGCGTCACTGACGCCGTTAGCTCAGCAGTCATCCGCAATGTTGTAAGCTCTTTCCCAATCTACGCAAGAGTTTCAAGTTATCTTCTCTGAAGCATCCTACTAATGTGCGAGCTACATCTCCGTATTGCGATGCCAACCATCTCTGCTAAGTAATTGGTTTTATCATCTGGTCAGTTTTCTCATCGTATAACCAAACTATTACACATTACACACACA